GAATTTTGAGGCATTAATAGTTATCCCGTATATCTTTCTAGAATCATCCCTGTGGTTAATGCGTAACTGTATATATAATCACCAATGATATTGAAAGAAGTTCACAGTTGGTTGACAGAAAGAATTAATAACAGAAGCGTATAGTGGTGATCAAAGGCAGTGAATTTTCTGTTGGACTTTTCGTTCATCAGTTTGAGGTATATATGACTTGGTCTCTAGATTTCAAGTATGTAGTCCTTTCGTGTTTATGTGTTTGTATTGCATGTTATGATTAAATTAATGTAGCCTGAATCGACCATGATCATAAAATTCATGATGAACAGATTATTAATTAGAGGGAATTACGTTTCTATAATGACGACCCAAAAATCGATTTTTGTAATGTCTTTGTAAAGATCACTCGCAAACAATTGTTTCTAGAAGTGGGGATTAGCATTTGTACTTAGTTTTAATTTTCAATTTTTTTTTGTGTGTAATTTAAACACATAATAATAATAATAATAATAATAATAATAATAATAATCGATGGCAAATTGACAACAAGCTGCACCGATAGCCTTTTTTGGATGGCAATACATATTTACTCTTCACAAAATCATAAGACAACGAGACGATCAAATCAGGTTTAATAGGATAATATTCACCCAGCAAAGTCGAGAAGACATATCATGATTCGTGCACCTGTCTGAAAACAAATGTTTTTTTTTATTCTAAAACTATATTATGGGTATGTTTGGCAAAACACTACAAGGAAAACGATCATTAGCGGCGACAAAAGTTGTCAGTAATAAGTCAAGTTGTCGCCGGTAATAAGTCGTCGCTACTGCTTCGTCGCTATTGGTCAACTTGTCGCCGCTAATGAGAGATGTCGCCGCTAATGACCCTGTCGCCGCTAATGAGGTTTGCCGCCGCTAATAACGAAGTCGCCGGTAATACCTCTGTCGCCGGTAATAGTGTCGCCGGTAATAACAATTTTCATTTTTTTAATTAACGATTTTGGTTGCCGGTAATAATGTCGTCGGTAATTACATAGCAACATTCGATTAAATATCAAAAATAATAGTGTCGACGCTAATTACAAAACAAACATCCGATTATAATTAATTAAATATCAAAAGTCACAATATCCGATTAAATATAAAAAGTAATAATGTCGCCCGGTAATTACATAACATCCGATTAAATATAAAAAGTAATAATGTCGCCCGGTATTAGTGTCGCCGGTAATTACAAAAAACAACCAAAGTTTTACAATCTACCAAGTAGCAAAGCGTGACAACGTATGCAAATAAAACTCATCCCTACATACCATCATCTTCGTTCTCATCGTTTCCTCGATTATTTTGGGATTGAAAAAAGGAATAAAGTTCATCCCTACATGCCGGGTCGTTGAGCATTGCACGAAGATTTTCCAACTACATAATTAATAACAACATATATAAACTTATAAGTTAAATTATCAAACATAAATAAAAACTATCAAAATACATTGTTATTTTTAAACTAAGACAAAAAACCAAAATACGTTGTTATTTTTTGCACTTGGGACAAAAACCTAATTACCAAAGTTTTTAGCAAATAATCACCACAAAACCAAAATTACCAAATCAACATGCATTTTACGATGCTAAAGTAGATTGCTATTTTTAAACTAAGACAAAAAACCAAAGTACGTTGTTATTTTTTGCAGTTGGGACGAAAACCTAATTACCAAAGTTTTAGCAAATAATCACCACAAAATCAAAATTACCAAATCAACATGCATTTTACGATGCTAAAGTCGATTACTATTTTTAAACTAAGACAAAAAAACCAAAGTACGTTGTTATTTTTTGGACTTGGGACAAAAACCTAATTACCAAAGTTTTTAGCAAATAATCACCACAAAACGAAAATTACCAAATCAACATGCATTTTACGATGCTAAAGTAGATTACTATTTTTAAACTAAGACAAAAAACCAAAGTACATTGTTATTTTTTGCACTTGGGACGAAAACCTAATTACCAAAGTTTTAGCAAATAATCACCACAAAACCAAAATTACCAAATCAACATGCATTTTACGATGCTAAAGTAGATTACTATTTTTAGTCTAAGACAAAAAAAACTAAAGTACGTTGTTATTTTTTGCACTTGGGACAAAAACCTAATTACCAAACTTTTAGCAAATAATCATCACAAAACCAAAATTACCAAATCAACATGCATTTTACGATGCTAAAGTAGATTACTATTTTTAAACTAAGACAA